GCAGCCGAGGACAGCGACGCGCTTCCTGCCCGGGAAGGGCCCGAGCGCAGGGCCGGCTATAGCGGTCCCGCAGCTGCCTGCTTCGATTTTAGCACTCCCGCTCCCAAGAGGGAGTAACGCGTCCTTCTGTCCCTCTTAGGGCTTGAAATGTAAATTATTCTTATCAGGGGAATACGTGTTTCAAAAAGCAAGCTGGACAAGAACTGACGGGTAATTCTTCCATTTAACCCTCACCATTAAAAGTCTGAGATCTGAAAAATCTCTTGACTGGAGAGATACTCACTCCACAGGTGACCGGGATCACGATCTATGACATAATGAATCAAATTAACTGATTTCTGAGTATTTAGACAGTAGAAAATTATTACTCCTCTTTTTAGTTCAATACTTTGTTCATTCAGCATTTGCAGAACAAAATCTGCTTGGATTTATTTAGTGGAAATTATCTTTTAAAACAACAAAGATTTAACCATAGTACATAAAACTTAGTTGCAGTAGGCAAATTATATTTTTAAGCTGAACCCTAAGAAATTGTCCAAAAATATATACAAGTTATACACAGCACTTTTGATTGCTGAACAAATGCATCACATAAAATTTTTAGCAGGAGTGAACGATTTTTTAGATGATTTTTCTCCTGATCTCATAGTGCAGAGTATTCACAAATGGACCTTATATCTTCTCCAGAAAACCGTCATGCCCAGTTTATTCACCTAGGCACATCTTAGTTCAAAAGAGTTTGTGATGAAGGCTGATCTACAGGACTAAAACCATGCTTACCTTGTAGGAAAATAAAATGTAATTGAATAGATAATTTTTAAAGTACATTATTCAAGGAGGAAATAAGCCCTGTAACAGAATCCATAAAACACCATGCTCCATCAGTCTCTTTTTGCTAATAGAATGACCAAGTATTCTCTCCAATTAATTTTAATAGCAAACCACCATTTTCTAAAACGACTTAAATGGGTTCAATCAAGTAGGAGAATGAATCTAAGGGAAACCACTGACTCGGGGTATAAAATGTGCCTTACATCATATTGCTTACATCAAACAATGAAAGAATTTAGGTTTCAAATTACAAAAAAAAAAAAAATTACCTTTAAGTCTTACCCTCAAGGTAAGATAGGAAAGTGGGAAATGCTATCTGCTCACTGGCATTCCATAAAATATTCACTGTAATTTCTAGATTTCCAAAATACATCTATGCAGCAGAAGTGGTTTGTCAAGTCTGAGGTTTTCCACCTCCACCCCCGTAGCAATGGGGCTGATGTTCACACTCTGCAGGTCCTCATCAGCATTCATGGCACCCCAACAGATAACCCCATGAAACTCTCTCCCTGACTCAAGTAAACACTTCACAATGTAAGACGGTGAGAAGGACATTATTACTGAAATAAACCTGAAACCTGCTCTAAATCTATAGAAAAAGTGCAACACTCACAAATACCATTACCCCTATTTGTAAGATCCCTCATAAATGACTATGTTATAGCTGAGACCTGCAACAGAACTCCCACCACCAAATTGTTGTGGTAGTGTAAGGACCATTGTTATTTTCACTTGCAAATATTCCTGAGAGGTCATATTTTAAGCTACTAAAAACTGATATAGGAATAAGGTGACACCCAGCAAGAGAAAAAAACGAGGTAATGCACTCCAGAGAGTAAGGAAGGCTCACGGAAGAGGAGGGTTGTGGTGAAGATCAGAGCCCACGGACGTCCAAAAATGTGACTTGGCTGGGCCTAACAGAGGGGAGCAGCTCTTCTAAAAACAAAATCACCCCCTGGAAATTATATTGTTTGGTTCCTTGGGATATCTACCGTTCTTTTTCAAGTTATTTACTTGCTTGTTACTGCCAGTCCCAGCTTTGTTGGGAGACATAAGCATATTTGGGGAATGGAAATAAAGTGCCTGCTGCCACAGACCAGGCCAGCAAGATGAGAAGATAAAGAGTTTCTAGAGTTTTTATTATTCAAAATGAGTTTCATTTCAATTCAGGTACCTGAAAGAAGGTTCTAGTCTGTTACTCTGACACAGCACAAGATCAGTAGTTTATTCTGATGAAGTATTCCACCCAAATGAAAGCATAACATGCAAGTAGTCATTTATTTCAATCACTCTTAATTGAAGGTCCTTATTTTTGGAGAATAGCCAGGCATTTTATTATCCACTCTTTCCATTCCTTAAAGGCTTCCACGGGTTTCAGTAAATTCCCATTACCCTCACGACTGTGTTCTGGAGTTGCACCAGGTGTGCCAGAAGATTCGTCATCAATCCACCTCACCAGTGCCTGGAAAAACAGGAAAGATGCGCATTTCAACAAACCACAGCAAAATACTATCAGGCAAGAGAAGAGCATTGGCCTCTAGATCATAGAGTAACATCTTACCCCACCAAGATGCTGCATTTGATAATGATGGTGTGAATATGAAATAATGCTTATGATATACTGAGTGAAATGGCGCATACCAAATATACACATACCAAAAATATGCACTGAAAAATGATGAAAAAGAAACACACTCATTCTTACACTTTTTTTCTAGCATGATAGGATATTATTTTTTCTCAATTTGCTGAATATTCCACAAGGCATTATATTCATTTGATATGTACGTATATACATAAGTGTACACTAACAGGCATGGGTAGACATATGTTGGTGAAAACACATGTGTAGACATTTCTGCGTAGTCACTTGAATGCACAGTCACACCCATGAGTAGCCACATGAATGTATATTGATGTTTGTGGGCATGTGTGGGGACACATATACACATACTGAGATTAGGTACTTTCCTTCCTCCTTTTTAAAGAAAATCATTTTTTCCTCCTAATGAACATCATACCTCTGTCCTATATTTGGAAAGATAAATCCTGTCCACACACTTATAGGGTTTAAAAAATGAACTTTGCCAGACATATCAATATTTATTCTGTTTTGCAAAGTCAAACTCTCTTGCCCTAAATGAAATAGAAACAGGGAAACTTCTTCCACTATTTCTCATAGAACTGTAAGCATAAATCACTCAAAGGCAAGCTAAAGTTTTTAAGAAGGGCATTTCTTCGCATGTTTTTAAACCACAGCTTCCTGCTTATCTTTACACTAATTTCCTCTGATAAATTATAACTCTAGAGAAGGATATAATAGAAATGTCAGTTTGCTACTCAGATAACCACTTACCCCTCTTTACACTGTCCACCCCTCAACTTACTTAATAACTTTCGACAATCCTGAAGCCAATAGCACACTGCAACTTGTGCAAACAGGTAGGACAAAGGTTTAGAGGGCGCCGGTCAGCTTCTTCCAAGTGGTTGGAGCCTTGCATTAGGCATGCCAGCCACTGGCAGTGTCGCAGTCCAAATATGTGTCCGATCTCATGGGTTAAAGTCTGCAAGACAATCATGTTGAGGCTTTATAAGACCACCATCACATTAAGCTACATGTCTCTTCTTTTTCTTGCTTCTCCAAGAAAGATAGGAATCAACTCCCTTAGTATTATCACCGAAACTTCACCCCGTCCAGACCTTCAAAGACTTAATAATTCCTCATCTCCCCAAATGTCTTACTGCCTTTCTGCTATAGACTTCCTCAACCTCAACACCGCTGACATGTTGGACCAACAATACCAGGTTGTGGGAGGCTGTCCTGTGCCCTGCACGATACTTTGCAGCATCCCTGGCTCTACCCACTAGATGCCAACAGAACTCCCTCCCTGATCGTGAAAATCAAAAATGTCTCCAGACATTGCTAATATTCCCTGGATGGCAAAATCACCCCTGGTTGAGAACCCTTAATCTAGACTAGGGTACTCGTTGTAATTCAGATTCTGGGGCCCTTCCCCTAGAGATGCTGATTTCAGTAGGTCTGGGAGAAAGGGGGCTTGATGTGCATGCTAATGAGAACATCAGGTGGCAATGACACAGGGGACCCATGGAACACACTTAGAGAATGTAGTTCTAAGAGGCGTAGCTCTCAAACTCCAACAAATAGTTGGGGAGATTAGGAACTGCCAGGATAACTATAGTCGAGGATAGCCTGGAGCCCAGGGCAGGAAGGCCCATGCTCCCAGAGAAGCCAGAGCAGAGGTCCTCCAAAGGCCTGGGGAAGGCAGCTTTGCCCAATGACCACAGTAGCTTGAACAAGTAGGTTACCCATTCACACCAGAATTCAGGAATTACACTAATAGAGAACACATGGGTACAGCCAAGGCTGCGTGTAACTAGTACAAAAAACTGGCACTGATACCGTAAATTTCAATATGAAGATATCCATTTACCTTGTTTTATTGATCATTTCAGTCAAGCACTATGCACCGAAATTATACAAACGATACAAAGTCATTTATAATATTACCTTAAAGACTGACAATATACAATTTATGCAACTAAGATTCTCTTTTAAAAAACCGTCCTGTCGGATTTTTTTAGTAACTTACCTTACAGGATCGAAATAGTAAAACACTAGTTATTTCTGGAATATAACAGTTGTCGAAAATTGAATAGTCACTTGAAGATGTTTTCTTCAGCTTCTTCACTTTGCCTTCATGGCGCATGCTATAAAAATCACTGCCATACCTGGCAAAGCTGAACATCCCCACACCTACAAAAAGAGGACAAGCAGCAACAGAATGAGAGTAAGGTCCCTGAGGAAAGACCAAAGAAAAGATCAAAGAAAGAAGAGCCTGCTGGCCCATCTGGCCAGTGAGTACACCTCTGTGTCACTGTGTCCCCATCATCTGATACACTTATGGTTTGCCACCAAAAAGGAAGATTTTGGTCCCAGATTTCCCTATCAAAATCTTTTGCGGCTATCCACTTTGCCTTGTCCTGTAAAACTTAATGGACTTGAGGTCAAATACTTGAGAAAGTGAAGTTTCAGAGAGTCTTTTCCCACAAAAGAAGTCTTTTTCTGAAAGTAGTAAGTACTCCAAATCAAGTACTCAAAAAGGAATCATAAAAAATAATCACATGGGTCAGGCTTGGTGGCTGACGCTTGTAATCCCAGGACTTCGGGAGGCTGAGGCAGGTGGATCACCTCAGGTCAGGAGTTCAAGACCAGCCTAACATGGTGGTGAAACCCTGTCTCTACAAAAATACAAAAATTAGCCGGGCATGATGGTAGGTGCCTATAATCCCAGCTACTCAGGAGGCTGAGGCGGGAAAATGGCTTGAACCCAGGAGGCGGAGTTGCAGTGAGCTGAGATCGCACCATTGCACTCTAGCCTGGCAACACAGCAAGACTCTGTCTCAAAAAAAAAAAAGAAAAGAAAAAAGAAAATCACATGAACAATAGGCAGTCATTTCACTCTTTAAGGACACACTAAACAGATCTGTTACATGTGTGTCTGGAGGGGTTGCTGGCCTTCCCTCACGCAGCACTGACTGAAGACAACTGCCCTGATGTCTTCAAGACCATGCTTTAAACCACGGCTTTGGACAGAATAACCCCTTCCCCTGCCCCACCCCCACCTCCTTTTTAAAGAACAGCCCAATTCTATTATGTCTCTAGTGTCTGGTGACCAGAATAAATACCCTTGTAACTGACTTCCTGTGTTACATTTAGAGTTATATCAACCATCTCTGCAAGCACAGAGAACATGGTTTGCTACATAACTCACTCTACAGGGTACTGCTTCATAATTCGACTTGTTTACATGATCACTTTTATTTATGTCTCTCGTTCAGTTTTTATTTTAAAGTAATAAATTTTGAAAGAAAATAAACCCATAGTAGGTTTGTTCAATCTAATTTGATTCAAAAACAACTTCCTCACCTCCCTTTACCCAGAAAATGTGGACTGATATTCGAAAATTAGGGTAAACAGCATTCTGGAAGTTAAGAAAACACTAAATCTATTCATGTATCACAAGTAAGCCCCTCTGGCCAATCAAGTGTGAGCATATTTCACTACAGTAATACTTTCAGCAAGGACACTTCTTTCTTCCAATAATCCTACAAACAGAAGATTATTTTCTTTCATAGTCAGTGCTTCTCAATTTAAAAATATGAAACTTTGTAAACTTGGAGAAAACAAGACCACTGTGTTAAGATATTGTCACTGTCTAATCCTGCTACTTTCCTATGTCAATCTTTCATGTCATGTAATATTTAAGAAACTTACAAAAAAAGAATTAAAGTAAAACAGTTTGGAGAAATGTTTCCTGACCTCCTCAAATATGTAAGATAAATTAGCTAGCAATATCTAGATAAATGAAGATATGGTTTTAAAATTATTTTTTTAGCTGGGTGTGGTGACTCATACCTTTAATCAAAGCACTTTGGGAGGCTGAGACAGGAGGACTGCTTGAGCCCAGGAGTTTGAGATGAGCTTGGGCAACACAGGGAGAACCTACCTTGACAAAAAAATAAAATACAATAGCTGGATGTGGTGGTCCTGTGGTCCCAGCTACTCGGGAGTCTGAGGCAGGAGGATCCCTTCAGCCCAGGAGGTTGAGGTTGCAGTGAGCCATGATCACACCACTGCACTCCAGCCTGGGTGACAGAGGGAGCCCCTGTCTCAAAAGAAAAATAAAAGGTAGATAAAATTATTTTTCAATATTTCCATCTCTATCAGGTTAGTAATAAAAGAGAAAACTTATGATAAAAAGCTACCTCACACCACCAAAGTCAGTAACAGAGTAGTGACCCACGTCTCCAAGAGTGCATGTTGGTAGGGTCATGGCAGGCTACAAGAATCTCACATAAATGGAGAATAAAGAATAAAGAAATAGGTGGGAAGAGGCTCTATAACCCTATAGCCCCCACCTCTAGTAGAAACATTTGTCCCAAAAAGCTTATGACCCCACACAAATCCTAAGGCTCATGTAACATCCAGACAGACCATAAACTCTCAGGACAGTCCCTGTACTTACTCCCCATCCCCAGAACACTAATGAACCACTCCCCTTGGGGGGCCTTTTCCCTTTCAAGTCTGTCTTGGATTCTTGGGGATGAAGTTAGAGAGGTAAGAAGGTAAGAGCAAAAATGAAGGGGAGGAGAGAAGTAGAGAGATGACAAAAAAAAAAAAAAAAAAAGACCTGTTTCCAGAACCTTTCCCATCCCCAATATTACCACGCAGAGTTCCTAACGAGTCAAGGTTTATTATGTATCTCAAATCAAAGACGGAAGTTTTGACTTTTTAAATTAAAAAACAAAAAACAATGTCGTAGGATGAGAAAGAAGCATACACTCAGTCTATGGCTATTCTATCTGTGCAAGATGACTATGAAAAGAATTGAAAAACAATTAGCAAGATTTTCACATCCATTAATGATAGTTCAAACTGTAATTGCTTTAATTCACCTTGCTACTAAATTACTGACATTTACTAGCTGTTACGCCGAATGCCTATATATGTGCCAGGCCTATATATGCATTTTTTTTTGAGACAGGGTCTCACTTTATTGCCCAGGCTGGAATACAGTGGGGTGATCACAGCTCACTGCAGTTTCAACCTCCTGGGCTCAAGTAATCCTCTCACCTCAGCCTCCTGAGTAGCTAGGACTACAGGTATGTGCCACCATGCCCAGCTAATTTAATTTTTTTGTAGACATGTGGTCTATGTTGTCCAGGTTTATACACACTTTTTATGTATAGGCACTTTTATGTAAATTATCTCCAAATCACTCCATGATGTGAGTATTGTTACCTTTAAGGTCATATATGTAGTGAGTGGCCAACCCGAACCTAGATTATCAGAATCTACCAACAGCACGCTTCCCATTATGGCATAATGTCTCAACTGAAAATACTATACAGTTTTAAATATCAATATGGTTCTTGGTTGGAATTTTTTCCCTTCTTTTAACATCTTCAAATATTCTCAAGTTGAAGAAGCTTCTAACAATGCCAAAAAAAGGAATACCATCTGTCAGAGGCCTGTCCAGAGACAAAATTCCACGAGTCTCTTGGGTAAAGATCAATCATTGTTATTTCCACAACACAGAAGGCATTTTCAGGTTTCTACTTTTTCAAGAACTTCAGGATGTCCCCTATTTAAAAAGAAATACATAAATGTATGAGTGTATATTATATACATATGCTTCCTTTACTCGGTTTAAATTGCAAAGTTGTGTAATTCACCCGCATGAATTTGTAGGTTTTATGTGTTCTCATTGACTCTAAAGGAACACCTTGTTGCGGAAACAGGAACTGGTTCTAGGAGTTTTACTCTCAAGCCATAGAAATATGCTTTACAGTAGCCCGTGAGCCATTTAATATATTCTTCACTGATAAGTCTGGTGTTTCCTAGAGAGCCTATAATATGGAAGAACATTTAAAAACAGACTTTAAGATGATTATTCAGTGTTTACCCAGTCTATGAGTAAGAAGATTCAAATTAGAAACAAAACCAACTCTAAATTTTCAATACACCTTTATCATTCATTGGTGTTGCTATGAATTAAAAAGAAACAAAATGTTCTAGGTCAGTTTGGCTACAAAACTTGTACCGTTGCAATGAATATCAAAAATGATCCTAAAACGGCCCATCTGAATCAGACCAATAGCCCGGACTATTCCTGACAACAGCGCCATCGCAAAACCGAACCAAAACCAGCACATTACCAGTATTTACCAATGGACTGTATATAAATGCTGCGTTTGTCTGGAGAGGGTGTCTTTCTGTAAGGATCACTGAAGAACTGTTCAAAGTCTTGGGGGGCCTCAGGGTGGGAGGTGATCCAATCTGATGGAGAATGCAAGGTAATGGGTCCAAAGAGATCACTGGCTGGCTGGAAGGCTTCATTCATTAAACGCTGTTCCCCAGCATCTAATTTCTCATACTGTGACACAAGCACTGGGTTCTTTGAGATGAGAGCTGTTTTTAGGGTCTGTTCAGAGTGTCGTATTATTTGCATCTAACAAAAAAACACAAGTAGTCAAATATAAAAATGCATATCCATATTGGGGACTTTACCTATCCTCCATATACAGCTCTGATTTCTCCCTAGAGTGAAATGACTGACTGATAATGCTTTAGAGTGGTCACATTTAAGAGTGGTTTCCTCATGTCCAATCAATTTCTTGGGGAGCTAAGAAATTAAAAAGACAATCATGAAATCCATTCCTCTATCTCATAAGGAACCTGCTCCCATTACAAAAACTAGTGGTGGCCAGGTGTGGTGGCTCATGCCTGTAACTTCAGCACTTTGGGATAGGAGGATTGCTTGAGGCCAGGAGTTTGAGAACAGCTCGGGTAACATAGTAAGACCCTATCTCTACAAAAAGTTTAAAAATTCCCTGGGCATAGTGGTGCACACCTGTGGTCCTAACTACCAGGGAGGCTGAGGTGGCAGTGAGCCATGATTGTGCCACTGCACTCCAGCCTGGGCAAGAGCCCAAAACAAACAAACAAAAAAACCTCATGGTGACCATAGGAGCAGGACCTCACACCCTATTTCCTTCTTTTGGGGAATAATAATATTTGCCTGGCATGGTGGCTCACGCTTATAATCCCAGCACTCTGAGAGGCCAAGGCAGAAGGACTGCTTGAGCCTAGGAGTCTGAAATCAGCCTGGACATCATGGCAAAACCCCACATCTACAAAAAAACTAGCCGGGCATGGTGGTGTGCACTTGTAGTCCCAACTACTTGGAAGGCTAAGGTGGGAGGATCACCTGCACCCAGGAGGTCGAGGCTGCAGTGGGCCGTGATCGTGCCACTGCACTCCAGCCTGGGCAACAGAGACTTTGTCTCAAAAAATAATATTATGAATTGACTCATTAGTGCCACATGAAAAATACTCATCGTTTCTAATGTGACTCAAAGATCTTCAACATCAAATAAAAACAAAACTAATGTAAGCCCTATCAATTCTGCAATTTAACTGTAGGCTGAGAAACTACAGCTTAGCCACTGAAGTTTACGGCCTCAAAGTCACATCACATTAGGGAAGACATCAGATGACTAATCAAAAGCCAGACTCACAATGACAGGTTTCTTCCATTCACATCGTGTTCCTATGTAGAGCTTTCATCCTTCCTCTTGAATGGGTCAGATGTTCCGCCACGAGGCTTTTTGAATTAGACAAGGAAAAAATTGAACATCTCTGTCTGGATCATCTCTGTCATATTTTCTAATTATCTAGATTTTGCCAGTTTAATGATAGACAGCTGATGGGAAAACTTAAGCTAATGTCTGTTCTGATTGAACCTCTGAATTCTGGGGTTGAAGAGGCTGGTTGAAATTCCAGATCAAATGTCTCTGTACTCAAAGCTCTGATATGAGCATAGGGTCATCCTCACTCCCACACAACTGGGCGGAAATCTGACTTCTACAGGACAAAATATAAAACAAGATGTACCTTCCTGTAGTCTACCTACCTTGATTAGGAAGGAAGGCTCCCATGGAAATTTTTATCTTACAAGGACGGACATGTCTGGGCCTGGCCAGAAGTAAGTTGTGGAGTGTGCCTTCATCTTAATATTAACGAAGGCAGTGTGAAAAGTCAGGAGGCCTCCTCTTGCCTCCCAAACCTAATCTAGGGAAGCTGCGTGAGAAGATAGGCAGGGGGCGCATAATATGGTCCCTGCAGTGGGCTGGAGGCCTGGGATGCTTTGGTCCCAAAACCAGAACATCCCGGGCAAACCGGGAGGAGTTGGCCACCCTGGCTGGTGGCCTATAGCAACTCGCACTCTGGGCTCTGGTCTGTGCAGGCACAACCCAGTCTCCGGCTGGGGGTGGAGTGGGGGTTCCCCGGGTACTCTCGCTTCGCCACTTCTTCCCCAGGAGCCTCTGGAAAGGCCTCCCTGGCTCCCCAGAGGTACTCCGCCCCCGCAGTCCCCGCGGCTTCCGCCACGTCCGCCCCTCCTACATCCTCATCCCTCTCCACCGACCGCGACTCGCCCCCGCCTCTACGACCCGGCTCCCCCGCCTAGGGTTCCCCGCCCAGCTCTGACAGCACTCGCGAACCGCCCTGACTCAACAGACCT